ATTTGGACGCCAAGGAATCGCTCTGAGTCAGAGCCTTTGAGCCTCTTCATGACCCACTCCATAATTGATTGGTAATTCTCGTGCAAAAAAAATAGGGACTTATGCCAATTGACGGAAGTTTCCGACAATTCAAACTATTCATCAAGGCAATCTTTAAGAGCAGACATTGAGGAGAACGAATTTTCGATGACTGCAAATAAGTCGTTCACGAGAGCCTTGACTTTGTACTCTGATTGATTTACTAACATACCTCGAATCTCAGGGTTCTCACGAATGTTATTGAGCAGACCCTCAAGTTGGAGTGCAAAAAGCAGGGGACCCAGGGGGCAACCCTGTCTCAGAGAGCGAGTCAATGGAAAGCTTTATGGACTTCACCATTCACGATCACGGATGCTGTGGACAAGGTATACAAACCCTTAACCCATGTGCAAAAATTGTCACAAAAATCCATCCACTTTAATGTGGTCAAAACGTATGACCGATTAACTCGGTCGTACGCTTTCTCCAGGTCAAGCAGAAGGACCGAAAGGTTAAGTTGTTCGGATTGGATAATCTCCAGCGATTCTATCGCTGTAGCGAAGTATTCTACGACGTGTGACACAATTTTATGATTTTTTGGAAAATACAAAGTGATTTTTTATTTGCATGAATGGATCGTTTTCTGATTTAAAATGAATTGAAATAGCACCTAAAACTATGAAGAACAATTGTGCACCCGAATTCATGGGTTGGTACGATCTCCTTCATGTAAGTCTTCATAGTGATGTACCATGGCAATAAAATGTGTCCACGAACACATTCACGAGGATGAACAAGTAACGGGTATTGGGATACATTCCTCACGATGAATCTCATGATGCTTTTAGCAGGCCATCCGACAGACGCGGAAGCGTTCCTGTCAGATGCACCACAATATTCGAATTTCACATTTCAAGTTCTATTTCTCAGAGCCAAAAAAAAAAAAAACGAAGTCTGGAAATCAACCCCCCCCCTTTAAAACTCATAAAATCCTGACTTCCCGCCCACACAAAGCCAAGAGCTATCGTGTCCAAGTTAGTCCACTGGCAACTTCGTTTTTTTTTTTCTTTTTCGACGCATCTCATTGGACGGGAGGTGGGCATCTTTACAGTCCCCGCTCGGAAACTACCAGGGCATCAAGATCAAATCTATTCGACAGCCATACCGAGTCACTCGATGCCACACGTGATCAAAATCCTGAACAGCGTGGTAGAATACCTTGCTAGTGGGTCCAAGCCCCTGCTCCTAAAAAGAAGGCCGATATTTTTTTATTTTTTTTTGGGGGAGGTCTATGAATCATCATATCCATTAAGCCCCTTAAAATACCCTTCCTGGGGCAAGGTCCCACTAGCATAGCAAAGAGGATTAGATTGAAGACCTAAATCTGGACGTGTTTGTGGAAAGGTGCAGAATATCGAGATTGAATTGCTTTCCTGTATGTCTACCGGAAAGACGTCCAGATTCGGGATATTTATCAAATCCCGTTCGCTATTGCTAGTGGGACCTCTTTCTTGCCATCAAAAGACCAAGCCGCATTGAAAAATCGGTTTAGAATGGCTCAAGTAACAGCTCTAGGGAATAGCTTCACTGCCCGGTGGCCTACGCGATTCCTTTCTTTGTTTTTTTTTTTTTTTGTTTTTTTTTTTTTCTTTTTGAAAACTACACTATGTTCTTCTTTCCTTTCTTCTTTTTAGTTCTCCCCAAAAGAAGAGAGGTCATGGCCCTGCTATCCAAATGGCCAGTTCACGCCATGCTAGACAACGAAAAAAAAATCTGGATCGCCTTTGCAGAATTCATCCTTATGGAGGAATGAGAGCTCACACAGCCAAGCCATGTTTGGCTGTGCTTCCATATAAAATCAATTTGCAAGAGGCAAATAAAGTCCATAGTCTGGGGCAACATCATGACGACATGGAATAAGACCAGACCTACCATCCAGACAGAACCTTTCTCCAAAACCCAGATCCTCAACCAAATCTTGTTTGAGAATGTTTGGATCAACCACTCGACAGACGGCCCCCCGTTAGCAGATTCTAGCCCGGGCGCCTTTGGCAGATCTTGGATAGGAAAAGGGGTAATCCAAGTGAGAGACATCTGGGATGTGACGCGCTAACCTCACGCCCCGTGTTGTCTTTCGTTCGGAGTGCTAAGTGTGCGGAAAAGAGACCCAGAAAAACAGCAAGATGGGGTGTGCCAAGGATTTTTGGAAATTGAGTGTGGGGACACAGACAAAACTGAAATCCCCCGTGACGGTCCGATGAAGTGAGTCGATTTTTCGCGCGTTTACAGAATGCGTGAACGAATTCGGCGCGAAAAGGAGAGAGGAATACAAATCTAATCCAAAAAGTATTGTCGGACTCCCCACCGGGCTACGACCCTTCGTTTAGAGCAAAAAGGCTTCGGCACGCTTCACGTGTCTCGTTTGCGTATTAAATCATGACGTCGCTCGTTGGTCAGTTCTGAGTCCGACATGGAGGGTCTCAGTCGTGTGGCTCTTTCTCTATGTTCGTCATCGTTCCGTATACGGTAGTGGAAACCCTTGGATTCGTAGCGCTCGAAACGCTGGCACTCAGTGCACAGAGTGCGAGGCCAGTGGGGTTCTACTGCCGCCCACGGAATGACGATCAGCTCGTTAAAGGGCAATAATATCGAGTAAGCCGGAAAGTGTGTATCGATAATGGCAAATCCAGCGTCCACAAATCCGGAGCAAGGATTTTCAGGAGGAAAGTAGTATCGTCCGCCGATCCGTGCAACAACTTCTCTCGCATACACGTTTCCTTTCCTCGTCGTAAGGGAAGGGTCGCGTCGACGCGGGAGATACGAGAGGTTGGCGCCCGATCGAAGGGCGTGCGTCAGTCCACTTGTCAATCAATTGCAAAGATCCCGGGACGTCATCAAGAAAAGATAACAACACCCGCACAACAGCCAATCAATTGTTTTCGACACGAGAGAGATAGAGCACTTATAAGTTTGATCATGCATTCGACCGAGGGACCGACCCGCGACTCAGGTTTAGTAAGCCGACGCGGCGTTGATCCAAGGCGCCTTGTCTTTCGAGGCTGCCCGGTAGATCGGTTGCAGATGTCGTGCAGCATAAGGCAGATGACATGCGCGGTGCATTCAGAACCACAGATTTAAACACTCTTGCATTCTCGAACAAAATCCCGTCGTTGAGTCTAATCAACGCAAAAAGACAAACATCTACGTACATACATCCACTGTGGAAGGTGCGAAAATGACCAGGGGTGCATGGGTCAGAAATCATCCGAGGCAACTTTATACACGCATCCACCATTCACGAGACAAGAGTATCAATTCCTCGACATTTGGGGATTACCCATGAAACTAATGGAAGAGTTTTGGAAGAAGTTCCTTGGCACAGGAAAGCACACAGAGTCATTTTTATTCACGAGGAGGACAAACTCATGTCACAGCATCATTCAACTCAGAGAAAGAGGAGAGAGAGAGAGAGAGAGAAATGTCGGGATAGGAGATACTGAGATCTGAAAGAGGACATTCGGTGTTGCAGCCGTACACTCACACCAAAAGATAAAGATCCGCAACAACAAAGGCGCTTTCGCCGTGGATTTCCAGTATGGCCCCGGGCCAATCACTCACTTAACTCCAATCACCGGTCCTCATACCCGCACCGACGATCCCGGCTGTCGTGTGCCTACGTCCACCGCTGCGATCGTCACCCCGCCGACACAAACTCGACGCGGTTCGCCCCGATCCCACAGTTTCGTCGTGGCGATCAAGCGCGCAACCGGCCAGCTGTCGTCAGCCCGACAGGACTTTCCGACTCGCACCAAACACTCCACCTAGCCACTGCTTCCCGGAAGTTGGCTTGGGAGTCGAGAACGTAAGAGAGATTTGCGGACGCGCTTGCGGAATTTATAGCTGCGGGAAGGAGGATAAGGGAGGGAGATGACAGGGGGAAAGTCGGGATGTCAGAGAAGAAGCAGGAGGAGAAACTTAGTGGGGAGCATGCTGCGGAAGCCATGTTGATCCTTCAGAACCCAAGGATCGGCCAATCAAATTCGTCGTGCAATAGGAAGATCCTCTTGTTCAACGCGTCTGATTGGTGAGCAAGGGTGATCGGAGGATTAACCGGGCTCCGTAAGTCAAGGTTGATGAGCGGAAAGAGATGAAGCGTGAAAAACAGTGCGAGACGGATCCAAGATTCAGACGATCAAGAAAGGGAAGCAGGCGCGCAAAAAGCAGCGAGGGAAAAACAGTTGCAATAAGAGAAGGAGAAGAGGGGGAAGGGAAAGGGGAGAGTGCGGGGGAAGGATGGCGAGGGAAATAAGGAGGAGGATGCTCGCATGCACGGTGCCGACAGCAAGAGAAAAAGGCACTGAAACAGTTACAGCTTGCCTATATCCTACACCAATTCAAAAATTGAAATCACCATATCCGCGTGCGAAAGTCGACGAGGGAAAAAAAAGTCCTACGCCTATCCGTATTCTCGCAAAATTCCTAGAGTTTTCTCCGACGTAACCGAGAATATTCATGCAAGGAAAAAGATACGTCGGGCTCCGCTTATTCCGTAATTCCTAACTGTCGAGCCTGATTCCCAGTGCGCTCGCTAAGGCGCGCGAAATTTCCTATGCATTTCCCGAATTGCAAAAAAAAAAAGCAAAAATTCCAAAAATCAATATAACTTCCGAAAATGGGGGCTCAAACAAGGCGCCTGAAATCAAGAAAAGCGACGAGGGTTCTGTGGGGTCGGTATGATACACAAAGGGGTGTTGGGCCAAGGGGGTACGAAAGATAGCACGGGGTCGGGAAGTGGTTCGTCACATATGTGACGCGCAGGGGGTTCCAAAATTATGCGATCTCCTGATCGCATGAAAGGTTGAACAAAGGGAGGGGACGAAGAAGCAGGAAGAAGTATAAGGAACGAAGAAGCAAGACGGGCTTGGATCAGCATAATGAGCTGGCGACAACATTCGTGGCAAGATCTTCGTGGATCGTGCCGGCTCGTGCGGTTTTGGATCCTGCTCTCTGCAGCCCTGTCATATGCAACCCCCTGTCCTTCGAACTTCGGACATGGTCCAGGTGGCGTCATCATGGTCCATCAGATCTCCGTGTGCTCTGCACCCCCAGTCAGCGCAGTCGATCGAATCAGAGCATAAGTTGACGTCATCGTCAATGGTGTGATCTTCGCGAAAACTGCTGATTCAGGGACACGTGGCCTTCAACGCCGTGTGGGAATGGGAAAGTAGATACGATACATGGGGGGGTGTTGATGAGGAGGGCGGGGAGGGTGTGGGGGCAGGTATCGGTTGATCCCTTCCTCTGTGATAGGGAGCTCCTCGTAGCGGATGTGGAAACGAGGAAACCGATCGCCACTGTGGGGTAGGGAGGCGAGGTAGTCAGGGTAGAAGGTGGAGAAGGTGCGAAAGAGTGCCGCGGGAAACAGCTCGTGATGGCGACACACGGGGATGGTCCCCGTGATTACGCAGTAGACTTCTACTGCGTTATTCTGTTGCCACGCGGCACTGAACAGGAGGACGTGTAGACAGAACGTGGGGTTCGCGGCTTGAAGGGAAGGGCTGGGATGGATGGTGACGGTGAGACGGGTGGAGTAGAAGTGCTCGAAAGTGTTGGGAGGAAAGGGGTTGCGAGGAAAGACGACGGGGGTAGAGATCTGGGAGAGGGTTAGGTAATCAAGGGGACGGCGGGATAATGACCGGGGACGAAGGCCGATTCCCCGCATCGGTACGTGGACGAATTGGGGGACGGGTTGGGGTGGAGGGGGAGGGGGATCGGCTCCGTCTCCGTCGTGATGCGCTCGGAGCCGCGGTTGCTGATCCGCCATCCTCGGGCTTGGGGGCTCTGGATCCCTGGTCGGATCGTCGTTGATGCACAAGCTTGCCCCGCTGGTGATCTCCAGCTGGTTTTTCCCAGCGGCGATCTCTTCCCTTCTACGTGCTGCTTCGGGATCTTCCGCTTCCGTGCCTGTGCGCGCCGCTTCTTCCGGCAGATCCTCCCACTCCGATTCGGCTTCCTCCTCTTCGTCTTCTTCTTCTTCTACCTCCTCCTCGTCTTCTTCACTCTGCTCCGAGTTCCCTTCGCTATACTCACTATAACTTCCCTCCTCCGACGTTTCTTCGTCGGCGTCGCCCTCTTCTTCGGTGACTTCCTCTCCTCCTTCAAGCGTCTCGGGCTCCTTCGGATAGAAGGCGTGATCGATGATCCCGTACGGCTTCAAGTACTCTTGCCATGATGGCAGAGTGCTATCACTCCCAGGTTCCTCCAAGCAAGCGGTCCACTGAAGATATGGTGCCAATGTCCACGTGATGACGTGCGGAGCGGGACTGTCGTCGAACTGTGAAACGATGTCGAGGGAGAGATCGTCGACCAGCTGCTCTAGCGGGATGACGAGTTCTTGAGTGATTGGATGGCGATGGCCCAACCACAATGATCCGAAAAGGAAGCCGAGGAGATCGCCTTCCACGTCCGTTTTCCAAGCCTGGATGATCAGCAGCTCCAGGTACTCGATACACGGCGGGTGTTCGTCGGTCCGCGTCCACGTTACCTGCACTCGGACCAAGCACACAGACAGATCGATAAAAATCTCGTGCCACACCTGCCAATACTTGGGATCAAGGAGCGGGACAGCGAGCGGCTCAAGCAAGAGAGAGAGACGAGGATGGAGATCGGATTGCCACAAGGTGGGGAAAAGAGAGGGGAGACCGAAGGTGGAGAGAGGAGCGAGGGGAGCGGCGCAGTTCATTGGGGGCGCTGGAATGGGACGAGGGCAAGGAGCGCGATGGCCGGCTGGCGCGGGGAAGTGCGGATGTCAAAATCTGTCCCGAATGTCGGGACTAGATTGTACCCTGGACGCGCAAGACCGTGCTGCCACTCAGTTGACAGCTGCTGCGCCCACTTCCGCAAGGAAGTCAAGATCGCGGTATGCCGCAGAGGGCTGATCGTACTGATGTCGCCGCTGAAGGCAGCGATCGTGGTGACGTGGCTCGTCCCGGGAGCCGCTCGTCGATGAAGTGCCACCACCTCCGCCAATATTACCGCCCGCTGACTCCTGGCGAATCGAAAAGCAGTAGCGGCACACACTCCCTCGGTGCAGAAAAACTGTGCTACCCTTCGCAGATCATGACTAAGCCGTGGATGACAAACTTGCCGGATCTCGGAGATGCCTTGAGTTCTCCGAAAGCCCGATCGCATTGCGGGCTCCACATCAACGGTCGATCCTTTTTCAATAGATTCGTGAGTGGTCCAGCGATTGCTGCAAATCCCTTGACGAACCTTCGATAGTACGACGCCAAACCCAAAAAGGCGCGGACCTGCGTTATGGAAGTCGGTACAGGCGCGTCTTTCACAACTGTCACCTTTTGAGGATCTGGTTGCAACACCTGACTCGTGACGACGTGGCCGAGGAACGAGATCTCCGTGAGAAAAAACTGGCATTTTTCAACCGCCACCTTGAACCCTGCGTCCTTGAGTGCGTGTAGTGCCCACTCAATGTGCTGCACGTGTCCCTTATAGGAAGTAGAGAACACAAGGATATCATCCATATACACAGTTACACAATAATTGATTATGCTTTGCGCCAGCCGCGTTTTTCGCACGAATTTATAGAAGGCCATATTCATCGCGCGCTGAAACGTGGATGGGGCACTGCAAATCCCCATCGGACATCTGACCCATTGCCAAGTTCCTTCGAAAAGAATGAACGTCGTTTTCGGGCGGTCTTCTTTTCGAACCAGAAGATGATGGAACCCATGTCGAATATCAAACTTGCTAAAGAATCGAGCGCCACCAATAGCATCCAACAATTCATCAATCCGGGGAAGAGGATACACATCTTTAATCGTGATATCGTTCAATTTTCGGTAATTAATGCAGATGCGAATTCCTCCTGCTTTCTTTGGCACAATCACCACTGGAAACGACCATGGTCCGATATCGGCCTCAAGCCAACCATTAGCTTCGAATTCCTTGATTCTTTTGAACCCGGCGGCTCTTTGCGCCGGTGAGTATCGATACGGAGCGCAACTAATGGGTGGATGATCCCCCGTAAGGATCGCGTGCTCAATTACCGTGGATAGCCCGATATCCTGTCATCCATACTCAATACGTCAGCATAGCCATGCAATACGTTAATCAGGGATTCTCGAACGTCCTTAGGGACATGATTGGGAATGGTGATTATCGTATTATTTTCCAAGCTTAGAGGCGTGTCAATCCACTCCAATCTTCACCATCGCCTGTTGTGTGAACTGCTAGTTCGGACCGAAAAAAATGGTAGCGATCATCTGTGATTCTGCAGGAGTGATCATTTCGGTTTCTTTAATTTCAGCATCGGTCTCAGGGTCGTCGATGCTTTTGGCTATCCCGACTCCCATTAATTCCGTCATTTCTTGCATGAGATCCGGAACGTCGGTGATCGGGGCTTCTGCCTTTTCTTGGATCAAGGCGACCACGACTCCTTGCATGAGTCGTGATCGGGGAGGGGAGACAGAGAGATCCAAGTATTGGTTCATCTGCTGATATCTCGCTCGGGGGGACAGTGTGCCCTCGTATAGTGTGCGAGGGGGTTCCAAAAGGTCGGCCATGTCTGAGACTTGCAAGATCGGTTCTCCCAAAAAGGTCGTAGGGAGAGTCTGATTTTCTGTAGGTAAGGGACGGCTGGAGTCGTTGTTATCCGAACTTAGATCGAACGTCCAAGTTGTTGCAGGAATCATCTGAAATTCCTCTTCCGTCTCGCAATCAAACATGTCGACTAACTGCTTCCACTCTTAGTGGTTGGGCATCGCGCTTAGTTCTTCCTCGTACTCGTGCTCATCGAACTCGTCTTTCCGCACAAGGTATTCCGAGTTCGAGGGGGATTTCTCAATATTCCGGATCATCCCTATCCGATCAATATCGGGATATTTCCGCGGGGATCGGGTGGAGATTCGGAGAGGGAGCGTCTGGGGCTTCCCTCCCGTTTGAGTGAGGACAAGTTGTCTTGAATCGAAATGGATTTGAGCCCCTACTGCCATCGCCCAGGGTAATCCCAACAATATTGAATAAGAATATACGTCAATGACTAATGCATTAACCAACACATGCACTCGACCTACCTTGATCGCGACATTTTCGATGATTCCTACGATATTCATGGCTTCCTCATCAGCCGAGACGTAGTTATCCCTCCCGGGTAGAGGAAGGATAGAGTTCAATCGTCCAGTTTTTCGGACCGTGTTCAAGGAGATGGCAACTGCCGATGATCCGGTATCAATCAGGGCATCAAAAGGTTTGCCCCAGACTTCACAATCGCATTCCGCGCTTTTCCATAGGACCGATCGCACTCATACAAAGTGATCCTTCTCAGCATAGGAGATAGCTGCGATTCGGGCAGGTTCATGTGCGTTTGTGGTGACTACTGGGGGCGGATTAGCTTCGTTTTCGTCGTCTTGCTTCTTTTTCAGCATACGTTGAACGCGTTGATAGGTGAAGCGTTTCTGATTCTTCTGACACTGTTGTAAAAGCTTGTCATTCGCGGCCTCGGATATAGTCAGCAGATATCCTACAGGCATTGACACTCGAATATCTAATTGTTTGAGTATCTGTAGGAGATCAATTTTTTCTGTCTGAAACATGGGTCCTGGTTCCGATGTTCGTTCGACCCAATCGAGTTCTTCTTTGGCGGGTCGGATCGCTCCGATCAGACCGGCCAGCTGAAGGTACTCGGTAGGATCGACGACATCCGCGGCTTCAGAGGATCCTGACGTGGATGCGCCCTGATCACCTAAGGGCAGCTGATCAATGATGAATGGGGAAGCCTCCCTTACCTTTTCTAACACCGCGGCCACTCGTCCCTGGTTCAAAGCTATAGGCACGGTCACGGGAGGCGGCTGATTGCGTTTCGACTGAGGGCAATCTCGAGCGAAATGCCCTGGCTGCTTGCAATTATAGCATTCGATTCTTCCTGCTAAATTAGCCATCTGAAGAGGAGCGGCGGAGTGAACTGGTCCACCCGCGGGAGGAGCCGTAAGCAACGGGTACTGAGCAGGAACGGGGCGAGAAGGGCCAGAATTAGCCTTTACGAGTTTAATCATGATCTGTTCTAGTCGATCCATTTGAGTCTGCATTTGCAACAGGTTATTCATCCATTCGAACTGTTTAATCGTGGCAGTGTGGATCATCTGAGCGAAATGCAGATTGGTGACGGGGATCCAGGCGGTTTCTTGGGTCATGACTGTATTTACGGGTGCGATCTTCGGAGGGGAGGAGCAGGGGGTGAGACGAGGAGGGCTCCGGGATAGGACCGTCCTGATAATCGTGATTGGGTTGGGGGAAGAAGCGTTCTACCGCTATGAGTCAGAATCGCTTCTTGGCCGCCACATCCTGGATCGTATCCGAGATATCTTCTTCTCCCTGTCAGATGTATTTACGCGTATCCAACAGATCCAATTCGAGGGCTTTGGCTATGATGACTGACAGCTGGTTGGTCTTGGGAGGGGCCTTTTTCTGCAGTTTTGCTTTCAACTTGGGATTACGAAGGTGATCGATGAACAAATCTCGAGCCACGTTTTCTTCCCGCCCCGACTTGTCTAAGGCGGTCTGAAATCGATCTACAAATCAGGTAGTAATTCCCCCAGTTCTTGCGGACGGGTTTTGAGTACGAACCAGGCAGCATCTTCACTGACCTCGTCAAACCGTGCCAAGAACGCTCTTTTGAAAGTATCCTAATCTACCCACCTGTGTCTTCTAAACCAATCGTGCGCAGTGTTTCGAAGCAGCAAGGTGATGACGCGAGGAAGATCCTCGACGCCATAGCCTTGCACTTGCGTGGCTTCAAGCCATGCCTCTGGGTGAGTGTAGTTAGGATAGAAGGGAAAAGTGGCGGAGATGCTTACCATCACCCGCGAAGGCGCTCCGTTGGCTTCGCCCATAGGCATATCTGGTCGGGCTTCGGCAGATCTTTGCCTAGTGACCAGCGGACTGGGGCGGTTAGGTTGTTTAGCGGCTCTTCCTCTCGCCAACTCGTCTCACTCTTGTCAGAACCGACACGTGTCGGCTCCGATACCAACCTCACGCCCCATGCTGTCTTTCGTTCGGAGTGCTAAGTGTGCGAAAAAGAGACCCAGAAAAACAGCAAGATGGGATGTGCCAAGGATTTTTGGAAATTGAGTGTGGGGACACAAGAGAATTGAAATCCCCCGTGACGGTCCGATGAAGTGAGTTGGTTTTTCGCGCGTTTAGAATGCGCGTACGAATTCGGCGCGAAAAGGAGAGAGGAATACAAATCTAATCCAAAAAGTACTGTCGGACTCCCCACCGGGCTACGGCCCTTCGTTTAGAGCAAAAAGGCTTCGGCACGCTTCTCGTGTCTCGTTTGCATATTAAATCACGGCGTCGCTCGTTGGTTAGTTCTGAGTCCGACGTGTAGGGTCTCAGTCGTGTGGCTCTTTCTCTATGTTCGTTATCGTTCCGTATACGGTAGTGGAAACCCTTGGATTCGTAGCGCTCGAAACGCTGACACTCAGTGCACAGAGTGCGAGGCCAGTGGGCTTCTACTGCCGCCCACGGAATGACGATTAGCTCGTTAAAGGGCAATAATATCGAGTAAGGCGGAAAGTGTGTATCGATAATGACAAATCCAGCATCCACAAATCCGGAGCAAGGATTTTCAGGAGGAAAGTAGTATCGTCTGCCGATCCGTTGTCGGGACTGGTGGGTCCGGAATAACTTCCCATCACTCGAGAGATTGAATACGGACAATTTGTGCACAACTGAGAAATATGGAGTGAGGAAGCAGGAGAGAGAAAAGACAAAGGATTATGCCGCAGAAGGGAGTGATGCCCTGAGGAGAGAACCACAGGAGGAAAGAACTAGCGACGGCAAGCAATCGAGCGCAAGAACAGGGACACATAGAACATAGCAGGAGGTCGGGAGGGCCATCGGAATGCAATAAGACTAAGGCCAAAGGGCCCTTTGAACTAGCGATTGCAGCGGGACAGCAATAAGGGAATGAGGAAGCCAAAAGATGGGCTGCCCAGAGATCGTGGGAAGTCAGGAAATGAGGGGCCAACATGGAGGCCACCTACATGAGCCTCGGAGCAGAGACCCACGACCAAAAGAGATCAGCACGCACAAGGCGCAAGGAAAGACTGAGGAGAGAGGTCGCTATGGGGCGACAAGACGCCCAAGGGGCATGGGACACCTCAGGGAAAGGCACCCGGGGCCACGTGAGACTAAGTAAAAATAATGGCGTCCGGGGCGAAATGTGTCGGGAACCGCAGACGGGACTAAGTGTCGGGGACCACCGGCGGGACTAAGTGTCGGGAACCACCGACGGAACTAAGTGTTGGGGACCACCAACGGGACAAGTGGCGGGGACATGTGAAAGTCCCCAGAAGAAACGGCGGCACCGCATGAGGGAAAAATAATAAATGGAAAGGCCGTCAAGATCGACATCTTGACGGCCAAGAATATCAGCACCACTGCTGCAAGTACTAGTGGTGACAAATGAAAAGGCCAAAAGGAAAAGGAAAAGTCAAGAAAACTGAGGTAGGAGGCATGGGAGCAATCCGAAAAATCTCGGATCAACCTTCCTAAAAAAAATAGAGTCAAATAAGACCCCATGTGAAAAATAGTCATCCGGGAGAAAATCGGAGTAGGAGGGACCATTGTGGGAGAAATGTAGGAGTAAAAGGAGGCTCCCATGGGCTTGGGGAGACCATTATTGCAGTCCGAGAAATAATGTATTGCACCTTGGGCATAGAGAGGGCCAAAACTAAGAGGAAGAGCCTAGAAAAGGGCCTTAACGGCCACTTGACACTTGGCATGCTAGAAAAAAGAGAAAAAAGAAAAAAAAATGGGGAAGAATAAGACAAAAAGAGTGAGAGGGAGTGAGTGAGTTGGCCGTCAGTGGGGACTGCCATAGGTAGGGACTGGTAGGTCCCTACTGTCCAAGAAAGGAGGAGAAAAGAAAAGAAAAGAAAACAAAAGAGAAAAAAACCTTAACGGTAAAAAACAGTCACTTGGGGAGATTCATCCGTGACCAGATTCATTCTGGAATATGGCGGTTACAAAGGACTTTGATTTTCTTTGATTTTTGCAGAGAAAATCAAACGAAATCAAGGTCTCTTACAACCGGAATAAAATGAAATACGTGCATGACAAGAAACACATGTTTTAGGTGTATCCTTAGCCAAAATCAAGGCCGGATGCACTTGGGAATTGACCGTTTTTTTTTCTTTTGAGTAGGGGCTAGTTGTGGGGCATTGGGGCTAAGGAATTCACCCCCATTGCAGTCCGAGTTGCAACAGACTGCATGGGGGAGAGAAAACGCATGTTCTAGGTGCATCCGGAGCCAATATTGAGCCCGGATGCACTAGAAAATTTAATGCTTCATTTTTTTTAAACATGGGGCAAGTTGTGGGGCTGTGGGTATAGAAAACAACCATGACTGCAGTCCGAGAAATTACGGACTGCATGGGGATGCCAAGGCCAAAGGAGAATGGGCTACGACAAGCCCGGAAGGCTAGAAAGGAACAATTTCGGCAAGAGGCAAGTAAAGACGGTAAACAGCAACCGTGAGATGAGATCTCACGGCCTAGAAAGATCGACACACATGTAGAAATGATGGGACCACCAAACGCAATGGGCCCCAAAGAAATAAAAATGGGACGCCGTCCGGAATGTTGTCAGGGACCAAATGGGTCCAAATAATAAAAAATCGAAAAACGGGACACGCCGGCGGGACAAAGAAATGAAGCTAGCATGTAGGAAAATGGTGGGGGCTTGGGATGTCCCAAGGGGACCATGAACAAACATAAGGAATAACTGTGCAAGCAAGCGGCACCGTCGAGATCGAGGATCTACACGGTGGAAAAATTTAGCACCACTAGTGCAAGTACTAGCGGGAGCAAGTGGGAGAGCCACAAGAGAAAGAAAAGTGAAATAAGGGTGTTGGGAAGGCTGCCCAGCAGTTCGGGATATCTCGGACTAGCAAGGCATAAGAAAATAGAGCCTTGAGAGACCCAACATGAGAAAAAGGCTGCCCTTAAAAAATCGGAGCAAAATGGGCTCAAAATTGGGCAAACGGGAGCAAAATGAAACCCCCTAGGAGCATGGGGGTGCCATTATTGGAATCCGAGATGTAACGATCATGTAACAGTCATGAACCTGGCCTTGAATGAGACCCTAGGGCCTAGAATGAGGGTACACAACAGTTTAACACTTGTCACAACAAAAATAAAAGAAAAAGAAAGAAAAATGAAAGAAAAAGGAGGGAGAATGAGACAAAAAGGGATAAAAGAGTGGAGGAGAGTATGCCGGCCTACAATTGGGACCTGCACAGTAGGGACTGGCAGGTCCCAACAGTGACCTCATCCCTCCTAGAATGAGGGAGGGCAATCCGGATTGCAGAGATTGGCCCTAAAGGCCATATCTCAATAAAATCTGAATTAAAAAGTTGAAAATGAGAGAAAATGCAAAAAGGAAGTGGCCGGTTTTCTTTTGGGCCATGGATTTGAGATCAGATCTCATGGTAGAGAGGAACTAGCCGGTTTTTGTGGGCCAGCTCAAAACGGCTAGCTCCGCAATGAGGTGGCAGCCCAAAATGGAAAGAAACAAAAGAGGGAAAAAGACAAAACAATGCATTTGGCCCAAAAAGAGAGCCAGATGCACCACAAATTGAAAAACTGGACTTAGGGGCTCAAAATTGAAGCAAGGGCTACTAGGGGGTAGCTCGGATTATTGATGGTCTTGGATCTCAGCCAGATCCAAGGCTGGAAATGTGCAGCCATATGGAAAAATGCTCCGGCCTACTCAAAAGAGGCCGAAACTTGAAAAAATTAAGAAAAAGGCCCACAAGGTCTTTTTCTTTTAAGTAAAAATGCCCTTTGGGCACTATGACCCAAGGGGGCAGCATTTGTGAGGCAAAAAGGAGGCTGGAGTAGGCCAAGGGGCAGTCCGAGTTGGTACCAACCACTCGGACTGCATGTACTTGGCCAAAATGAGGCTCAGGTACCTCCAGGAGGGCCTAGTGAGGGAATTTTGCCTTGGGGGTACCTCGGTTCACCTCAAGGCTCATGGGGAGGCTCATGGGCTGGCCGGACTGCTGGTTTCAATCTACATAAACTGAGGATGCAGTCCGCCACTCTCACATTTGCATGAGGAGTGTCCATGCTGCCCAAGTGAGCTCACAGGAGCATCTTTGCACTTGGAGTGAGGAGGAAGAACCCCATGCTAGTGGGAAAGCTTAGATGAGACTAGGAGGTAGTGGAGAGGACTCTAAAGGATAATGATCGTGGGAGAGACACTTGGAAGGTGATCCGCTATATCCCTCCTGGGTGTAGGAGAGAAGGAGAGGCTAGAGCAGCCTCATTAGCCCTCCTAGAGGGGAGGACTCCATAGCCATAACTGGGGAAGCTTGCCATAGCCTGAGAGAAAGCAAGGGAGGAGGAGAGAAGGGCTTGAAGAAGAAGGGAGCCATAGCCAAGAGGAGATTGTGCAAGGAGAGGAAACTTCATCAAGATGACAGCAATATCAAAGAATCAACAAGGTGAGACGAAGGAAGAGACTTCTTCACCTCCATCTTCTTCTTCTTCTTCTTCCTCTTCTTCTTCTTCGTCTTTCTCTTCCTCTCTTTCTTCTTCTTCTTCCTCTTCTTCTCCTTCTTCCTCTCCTCCTTCTTCTTCCTCTTCTTCCTCCTCACCCCCTCCTTCTTCCTTCTCTTCTCTCCCCTCTTCATCCCCTCCTTCCTCCTCTTCACTTTTATTCTCTTTCTCTTCCTCCCCTTATTCTCCATGTTCATCCCCCTCATCTCCCTCCCCTTCTCCTCCATCTTCTCTTACCTCATCTTCTCTCTTCCATGGGCTATTCAAACTCTTCTCTTTCACTTATGCACTAGGAGGTAGTACTCTGATTCTTTCCTAGATGCTTTTTGATACAATCTTCGTGATTTGGGCTCTCCAAACTTGTGATTTTCACACTCACACTAGTAGGTAGTACAGCGCTTCACACATGGATGCTT